GTCTTATCTCCTATAATATCTAGTATTTTATAGGAATAATTTAACGAACATTTTATAAGTACTACTACTCCATCATTTTTATTTAGACTTCCTTCATTATATATAATGTTGTATCCCGGTATCCTATATAAATCAATATTCCAAATTTTAAAACTTTCAGTAAGTACTATACAATCAAATTCAAAATCTATTCCACGTAAAAGAACAAGAAGCTCATCAAAATTGTGATCTATGCTACGAATATTATTATGAAAAAGTTTAAATGATGATAATTCAATGTCAAATTTACATATATTAATGTCATCCACCACATCTGCCTCAATCAACCTTGTTTCAAAGTCCCTAATATATGAATTCATTGTTATCTTATATGTTAAGCTTTTAAATATTTAACTTGCAATCTGACCCATATCGGAAACACCTAATTTTTCAAAAGAGAATAAAAGATAAAATATATATTTTTTTGTTTTACAATATACTCCAAATACCTTTAATAAAGAAACAAATAATCTATATTGGTTTATAAACGTCCATGTATTTACTATATATTTAAATATTAATAGTCTATTTATTTTTAGCCCAACACCAAATTAAATTTAAACATATAGTATATTTTAATTATTTAAAAGTCCCAAAAGTGCAGAGTCAAGTCGCGATATATGCTTATATCTCCAATTAGACTAAAATTACAAGGAAATTGTAGCCGCGCACAAACGAGCGCCATCAATGTATATAAATAATTCACTAACGTTTTGTTTAAAAAAAAATGTCTCTTTACACTTGACGACATCTTCATTTCTATACCGGCTTCGAGTAACTTCTTGTTGCTGGTCTTCCCTTATTAGTTGAAGGTAGGGATGCGGTTATAAGGCCAGCCGAACCCCTGCGAGTTTGCGTAGCGATGCTCCCGGATTAATGGTAAATTCAATAGTACTGGTCGGCTTAGCTTTTGGATCCGGATAGTGAGTTTCTTGCTTGTGACGCTCTATAGGTTGTACAGGTTGTTCGTTGACGGGTGTCCCCGGAGCACTTAGGGATGGTCTAGATGGAATATCGGTAAAGACTTCGCAATCAGATTCGTTACCTTTATTTCCTCTCTCCACCAATTGTTCGTAATTATAAGTTTCGCTGCCAATTACAAGAGTATCCCTTTTAATGTACGCCCTTAAACCCTTTTCCTTTGCCTCTTTTAAATTTTGTTTGAGTACCTTGTTCACCACTCTCTCTTTCTTGGAAAGATCGTGGTTAATAAAAATGTTCTTTCCCTTCAGCTTATAGGCGCTTCGAAGAATCAATGCCTTTTTTAAATATGAATTGAGTTCTATACGTAGCGGTTTCGTTGAGTCGTTTCCTAAGTAGTATAAATTGTTTATATCGCTTATATTTATATCTACTTCTAACAGATTTCTTAGTTGCTCGGTTACCCAAGTAGCTAATTCAAAGTCCTTTAGGTTTCTGTGGTCCCGTAGCCCAAATATTATCAAATTGTTCTTCCTAGCTAATTTTTCTAGTGCTTGTACCCTGTATTCTATATCGTTTAATTTACTTTGTATTACAGTAATACTCTCCTTTAGAACTTCCGTTTGAATTGACAAATCCTCTCTCACCGTTTTAATGTCTTCTTTTAATTCTTTTTTGCTGTTCTGTATTAAAGATTTGATTTCTTGAAATTGTTTGAATATGAGCGTATCTACCATTCTTACGGTGTATATTATATATTATAATATCTGTTACTCAAATAAAAAATATTGCAATTGGCAACGACGTCCGCTGTACTTGTCCAAAACTAGGTCAAATAATTATTGTTAATCGATTTATGTGATGGTTCAAAGTCCAAAGTTATTGACCACGGCGGGGCGTTTTCTAACAAATTTGCCTTTTTAAAGATGATTAGCCGTTCTAATTATGGCACTTCTTTATTTAAAGACTAAAGACTTACTTTGTCAACTACTTGTAAACAAATTTCTCCGCGATTACAACATTAATACTTATTCACTGCGCGCCAGCGTTGCCACTGGATGATATTTCGATATTATTTATGTATGATGTGTAACGAGCAATAAATGGAAATGTATAAACACCGAAAAAATTGTAAAAAAGTAACATGCAGAAAAAAAATCGTGGGTGTTTGGGAAGGCTTGAAAGGAAACAATGTTTTTGCGACGTTTCGCGACTTTATTGTCGCTTCTTCAGGCACTATAGGAGAAGCAGTTTTTTAAAAAATATCAAAATAAGATTAACTGACCACTTACCCAAAACATATATTAATCCACATTATGCCTACAAACATTCATGGCGACTCCAACCGCCAACACTAAGACACATACAGACGAATCGAACAGAAACTTGACAGGTATTTTTTGGGCCGATATACACCGATGCTCGGTTTGTGTCGTCCCGACACCAGTTAAATTAATTTCGGTACCAAAAAAAGGATTGATTTTTTGGTATATAAATATTCCATAATATCTTAGGATTATGTAAAGTAATCAAAAAGAAAGCCAAAAATACAATAATATACAAGGTGTTCATTTTAAAAAAATCATCCCGATCTACTCACACTTTTTTGAGCCACCCCGTAGAATTTAAAATATTTTCCTGAAATACATCCCTCGTACATACTTTACATTTGCACTTAAACAAAATTCCCAAGTTTTTATATAGGAGCTGCAGATGCCCGACGCACTTTTGCCGGACCCTGTATAATGAAAAACGCTAAAGTTTAAAGCTGGTCAAATACTTTATTTTTCACTAAAATTATAATATGCCTTTATATAAATATCGAATATAAAACAATAAAAACTTAGCCAAGAATATGTATTAACAGTTCAACTTTTATTGTGAGTTATTTTAAGGAATCTACATAACTTATTTTGATAGAACAAGTAAAAATTATGTTCATTCTTCTTAAATAAAATATTTAAAAAAAAAATTTATATTATACTAACAGTCTTAGAAATTATAAGTAACATAACTTTAATAACATGGAATGTATCATAAAAAGGGGTCAACTTGACTTTGAAATGGTAATCAATATTATTCGCCAAATAATTTTACATAAAAAAATACATTATTATAGTACCAGCTAACTCAGACGTTTTTTTTTGAATCGTATGGTTATATCATCAAATTAAATATTTTTCTACTTACCACACTCATACAGAAAATAATAAATCAAAGAAATCACGCAAAAAGGTTATTAGGAAAAAGTTTATTAAACTCAATTAAAAATTCCTAAAGATTCCTAAACTGTGATTGAGTTAATTAATGTAATTTTACTTGGTACTCTTGTTTTTTTATAACGAACTTTTCGAAGTATTTGAACTTTTCAAATCAGTATTTCAACTTTTGGAGTATTGAAATCTCAATCGTATCGGTCCTTGAAAAAGCTAGCTGCAAGAGCGCTGAAGTCAAGGTTACTGAATCCCGCTTAAGAAGGGCTGGTCGCATATACAGGGATACAAGAAAACCGTCTACCGAATAAGTCTCTCTTCTTTACGGTGAACTTGTAGACGGTAAGAGGAAACAACCGGGTGGACAACTCAAAAGGTACAAGGATATTTTCCATGAAAACTTAAAGGGGACAAGCATACAGGTGGGAGGAAGCAGCGCACAATAGAACGCAATAGAGAGAACTTAAGGAAAAGCTCATGAAAAAAAACGCCTTGCGTAACCATCTTTTGATGAGTGTCAAATACTCGTCAGCGACTAATGGCAGTAGTAGTATGTACCTAGTAGGAAGTATGAAATATACTGCCCCCGACTTAAACTATTTACATTTTATTTATGACACACGCTATAGCGGGTGCGTCTCGAAAGTGGCTCACCCCTATAACTTTTTGATATTTTCATTTGAAAAAAACGAGATTTGGTATGGTAGTATATGACATCAATTAGGATTGATTGGCGTATATCTGTTTCACCGGAAATGACTACAACTTTTGATTTTTAAACGACACCTTCGGTATTTTTTTTACTTTATTCGATAGAAAATAACACTCTGAATAGAATTACATATTATATGTCAACTTTTGACGTTTTCGCTTTAAAAAATCGTATTTTAAATTTCAATCTTGAGTTCCATGATTGTGTTAAAAACACGAAATTTTAATCAAGGAGCCTTGGAAAAATAGATTTCATCGTCTAATGTTTTTCGTGTCTTGTCCTGGTCTGTTTAAAAATGCCCCAATCGTATTTTAATCATATCTCAATTTTTTTCAAATGGAACGAGGGTGGCTCATTAGCATGTTTGAATAAAGCATTTTTTTACGAATAATTTGGTACAACAAACTTGGTATTTCGAGTCAAATTGCCGTTATGAACCGCATGTTACAATTTCAAATAAACCATATAAGAAAATGCCAAAAGTTGATATATGATATGTCACTCTATTCAGTCATTTTCTGTCAAATGAAGTTAACAAATAACAAGGGTGCCATTTAAAAATCAAAAGTTGTAGTCCTTTCCGGTCAAACAGGAAGTGACCAAAAACAATTGAATACGTCAATCAATCCTAAATCTCGTTTTTTCATCTGAAAAAAAAAATTAAGTTATAGGGGTGAGCCACTTTTGACGCATCCGGTATATAAAAATGTGCCTATTACTATATTTTATTTCTTCTGTTTAAGTAGATAATATATCAAGGCTTTCTATTTTTCATTTTATACAGGGTGTCAAAAAAATAGTGTATCTAACTTCGGTGGGCAATTCTACAGATAAAAATAAAACAAAAAGTTCCTATTAACATACTATACCCTGTATGATGAGTTATGATTCAAGAAAGGGGGACACAATGGATCTGTAAGGTCGAAGTGATTAACCCCCCTCCCACTCATTCTAAATTCTAAATTCATTCTAAAATACCCTAAAATGCTTCTCGAAGAAATTACAGCTCTCGAAAGTTTAAATAAAAATAATATATTTTGTTTATTTTTAAGAACATTGGTAAACCGTTTTTCGGGCATATGTTCAGGAACTTTTTGTTTTATTTTTATCTGTAGAATCACCTATAATAATATATATATATGTATATAAATTATATACATTATTTTTATGACACCCTGTATATAATAATAGAAGAAAGAATTAATATAAGAAATTCAACAGTTTTTCTATCAATTTTTCTTCTCCAAGAATACTGAATTAAATGTATTTTTATACACTTATTTTGCTAATACCCCTTGAACGTTCTGATTAGCCTTACAAATGTTCTGATTTCTTCTAGCCTTGATTCTGTTCTGCAACGTCAAAAGCAACCCGGCCAATACATCGTGATTGGGCAACTTTTTAGCGAACAGCAATCGCTTAACGCTGTCGTCGTAGGTCAATAAAGCCACCATGTTCTGCAAAAGGAAGCCTTGGCAATACTCCAATAATTGCATAGCGTTATAGACCTTGGCGTGAATGTACATGGAAACGACGTTATCCAAAGCTACCATTGAGGCACACCGAGATTCGCAGTACCTTAGCAGGCCGTCCAACTGGAAGAAATTTGCTGCGGCCATTAGCTCCAAAATGTCTTCAGTGGCTGGTTCGAGAGTTTGACAGCCTCCTTGGTAAAGGAACTGCATAACAACCTGCAAATCAATTGTTTAATATTACTAACTTTACCTTGGATGGCAAACTTTAAGTAAAGTTTATAAGTAGTTCAGTAAAGTTAAATCGTATTTAAATATACCTATAGTCTGTCCAACGACAAAATCCTTGACAGTGATAGATGTGTCTGTCATTTTAATTTCATAGTAGTGTATTTTATTTTACAAAGAAATAAGTTGGGTACAATTGGAACGCATAGTTAATATATTTAAAATTTGAGTGACAAGTGATTGAGGTCATCAAAACATTGTGAAAAAAACTGTATAAGACTGAAAAGATATAATCGAGTTATTTTATTAAAAAAACTTACGGTATGTATTAATACAAAACAAGCAAGGGTGTATTTTAAACAAAACACTACATGCAAAAAAATATAAAAAGACCTTCTTACTTTCAAGCTCAAGCAACTTCCTGTAGTATTACATGTATCAATTGTTTACCTATCGTGTGATATTATTTTACACATACATCCAGCCAGATGGTATACAAACTTTATTTGTGGCTAATACAACTCTCTGGCCATAGTATCTGGTAAACTGTGTCTCTGACGGTCTCTCTCCGTCAAACCAATAATATTAAAATATAATCTGTCATTTTTGAAATAAACCAATAGAACTGGTTAAAAACAACAAGAGACGACGTATAACGGATTTATATATCAACCGCATCCATAGTTAACTTAAAAAATATTAAAAACTTTTTTAGTTAAATAAATGTATTGGTATGAATGTCATCTGCTTTTTTTCTGTCATCGTCTGTCGAAATCTTACCTGAGAAAAAAACAGAGTATACAACAACTTTCAAATATACAGGGTGGCGCACCTCATTCGCCTCGGTTGATTATACAAAAAGGGAAAGATGTAGAAACAAAATATTTTTTGGGTATATATGGGGAGGGAATGTGCACAATTGAAAATTATTTTGAAATGTACAGGGTGTTTCGGAACTAAGACCCATACCAATGTTATATTTTTTCTTATGGAACACCCGGTATTTTATTTCATTTTTGGATTCTTGGGCCCAACATAAGGCATTTATTATAAGGGTTAAATCTCTTTAAAATCTTTAGTTTTTGAGATATTTAAAGATATTTAAATTTGCATGCTACAATAGAATAGACTATTAACACCCTGTACATTACTTTTCAGAATTAATTCTTATGCTGAGTTTAAAGGTAGATAAATAATTTTGTGGTATTGGTTCCTTAAATTTATACAGGGCTATCAAAAGTTGCTGATCTATTTTAAGGATATATTTTATATAAAAACTTTGTTATTTCAAATGCAACACCCTATATTTTTTTAAATAAATCGAAGCAGATTTAAATGCTCTTTCAAACTATATTAGGGTTTCCTATACCTATCTAGCTCAGATTTTGAATAAAAAGCGATTTTTAAATAAAATTGCGATCAAGATGGCTGGTGTCGCCGGGGCAATTTTCTAGTGACAGTTAGTAACTATTTTCAAAGTCGACACTAGCTTATGGACATTATTATTTATAATTTATAACAGTTTACTTAAATTTACCTACAATAGTTTAATAAGTAAGTGTTCATTACTTTATCAAGAAAAATAAAGCAGTATCTGCTGGCGGAACGAATAGATATGTTACTAGTGATATTATTTTGTGAAGAAAATTGCTTCTTGGTCTCACGGGCTTATGCTCAAAGACATCCAAATAGGAATCTTCCAGATAAGCGTTTCTTTGAAAAACTTCTTGTCCTATTTCGCAGAGCTGGTAGTGGGTTTATAAAAAAAACCTATTAAGCAGGAACCTGTCGTTGGAAGTGAAGAAAATGAATTTGCCGTAATTGGCTCTTTTATAGAAAATCCATATATCTACGAGTAATCGTAAAATAATTCAAAGAACTACTTATTCGTTTTTCTTGATAGAATAATAAATACATATTTAATAAATATTATTTATTAAACTATTGTAGGTAAATTAAATAAAAGTAAACTGGTATAAATTTAAATAAGTCCATAAACTAATTTCAATTTTGAAAATAGCTACTAACTGTCACTAGAAACTTACCATGACAACAGTAGCCATCTTGATTACAATTTTATTGAAAAATCGCTTTTTATTCAAAATCTGAGCCAGATAGGTATAGGAAACCCTAATATAGTTTGAAAGAGCATTTAAATCTGCTTCGACTTATTTAAAAAATACATAGTGTTGCATTTGAAATAAACGAAATGTTTATGTAAAATAAATATTTAAAATGGACCAGCAATTTTTGACACCCCTGTATATATTTAAGGGAGGAATAACATTTTTCTGTAAAGTTTATTTCTCTACCTTTAAACTCAGCACAATAATTAATTCTGAAAAGTAATGTACATGGTGTTAATAATCTATTCTATTGTGCCTTATATTTAAGCCTTATAATAAATACCTTTTACTGGGCCCAAGAATCCAAAAATGAAATAAAATCCTGGGTGTTCCATAAGAAAAAATATAACTTTGGTATGGATCTTAGTTCTGAAACACCCTGTACATTTCAAAATAAATTTAAATTGTCCACATTACCTCCCTACATATACCCATAAAATATTTTGTTTCTACATTTTTCGTATTACGTATTTCGTATAATCAACCGAGGCGAATGAGGTGCGCCACCCTGTATAGTAGTAAACATGTTTGTATTTTCTACAGGGTGAGTCTTAAATAAGTGCAAATATTTTCAGGGGTGGTATATTTCGAGCCCAGAATCACGTCTATGAGTTTTTTTCGCAAAAAAATGTTGAAAATCATGCATTTTCTTTTAAATTTTCCTGTATATTTATCAAAAAAATGTTAGAACTGCCTGTTTCCCACAAATGTTCCCACGGTCTAATTTCTTAATCTCTGATATTACCATGATTACGGCACTAATAGAGATGCAACATTGCCACTTCCTAAACGACCTATATTTTTAATTATTCATCTGAGAAAATGCAATTAACAAGTAAAAATTACTGAAAAGAGGTGAAAATTCAGAAAAGGTGTGAACAAGATACAGTGTATTAAAAAGTGCAGGAATAAGTACTAGTTGTGTCATCATGATTAATTTATTTATTTCAGTATTCACATAATAAATAACTCTAAAATAAAACAGAACCCTTTTACCAGTTTTAAGTTTTACCTTTGTTAACCCTTTGGTTTAAGTGTGTTACCTTGTCAGCACAAGTCTATTAAAATAATATGGTTGGAAAATAATATGATTAAAAATATCTATACCATAATCATTATACATAATCATAAATACGATATTTATTCATTTTAGTCAACAAGTAGTAACCTATTTTTTTTTCTATTACATCTGGTTTTTAGATGTTGGATTCCTTAATTTTGTACAGTAGGGCCTATTTATATCTATTACTTGTCTGGCGTAGTAGCATTTCCAGTTTTTAATTCCATAAGGGGATATATCAAGCTTCTCAGTGTAGAGTAATTACTTACAACACCAGATACACCAATTATTTCAATAATATTAAGTGCTGTATCGTACACAGTTGCACAATTTTAAGAAAACACCATATAATACACTGAACAAACAGACTAATATAGAATGCAATATTGTTTGACTTCGTTGAGTAATTAATATTATTCTGTTATTGATGTTATTTGTAACCCCGATAGTATCTGCCTTTTAACGTAATTATATGAGGCGTCAAATTGCAAAACCCGTCTTATCCCAAAAACATTGCATCGAAATAATATGCAAAAACTGTTTTAGCCAATGTTTGAAGGGTTATTTCGTGCGTATGGGTTATCACTAAAATATTTAAAAAAAAACATGTGCGCCACTGACGTTTCTTCTTTTGATATCAAAATTGTATAGACCGTTTCATGCCAATTAAAAGTTATCTCTTGATATTTTGTCGAATTCGGCCTCCTTGAAGAGATAAACGCAATTTTATTAATCACAATTAATAATATTAAAATAAAAAAAAATAATAAATTATTTATATTTTACCTAATTTATTATTAAATATTATTACTATTAGTCCAACATACAGCAATTGCAAATAAAAAATAATGGTATTTATTATCTTAAATACACAAACTTAATTTACAAAAAAAAATAATTCTAGAAAGTTTTAACATCCTGTAACTCTGTAGTTTTAACATCCTGTAACCTAAAATATGCATTTCCATACCCATGTTTATAGGAACTTTTTTTCATATTTTTGATGAGGAATCAATGAGTACTTATTTAAAACTTTCGCAAGTTAATGATATTAAACTTTTTTAAAGGTTGCTATTAGACTTGGACCAAGGCAAATTTATAAAATTGCGTTTATCTCATTAAGGAGGCCGAAATCGACAAAATATCAAGAGACAACTTTTAATTGGCATTAAACTACTTACACTATTTCGATAACAAGAGAAAAAAAGTCAGTGGCGTACATGCTTTTGTTTAGAAAAATATTCCAATGATAACCAATATGCAAGTCCCTGGTGAATATGTCCACACTTTTTTGGCTTTAAAATATGTCGCATTTATAGAAACTTTTACCCCCAAAACGCTAAAAGTACTTGAAAGAAAATTATAATAAATCGAAAAAATATTAAGTTTTAACACCCTGTAGCTACGAAACAAAGCAGAATCGGACCTATGTTGATATGAAAAATAAATTTTATTTTTACGTGAGGAATCTCCCCACGAGAGATGGCACATGTTTTTTAAAACACCCTGTAAAAGTCTTCTACTGTCTATGCTAAAGAATTTATACTTGGCTATGATTCTCAGAGAATCATTGAATAAGATGACTAAAGAAGATATAATTATTTGTTATACAAGACGATAAAACGGTATCTTATCGGTCGACCTAAAAGATTAATTCACGAGCGATGAAATCGCGAGTGAATTAATTTTGGGAGACGATGAAATCGCGAGTGAATTAATTTCGGGAGACGATGATGCAATCGTCGTGTACAGGGCCGGATTTCCGCCTAGGCCTGCAAGGCCCGGGCCTAGGGGCCCAGCTAGCC